GTTGGAGGGAGTTTATTATAAATGTTTTCCGAAACGATCCGCGATATAATAAAAGGTTTCCGAAATTTTCCGCACATATAGTGAGGGGGAAGTTAGAAGGGGGTAACGTAAACCACCAAATTAATTTGGTCTGGCCTAATAATAGATAACATGGCATAAGTAAGCTTCTGTTTCCCATCATTAATCCTTTTTTAATCTTATTAATTTTTAAAGTAATAAATTTAATAATAAAAAATGTGGAATCTAAAAACAAAATCAAGCAAAGTTATCTTTTTCATAATTATTTTTATATTTAAGTGTTCCAAAGCCATTAGTTTTATACCAGAAGCTCGAGCAGGACATGTGGCAATAATAATTGGAGATCTATTATATTTTATGGGAGGTTCTCGTTTTATTCCATCCACAAATCCAATTAAGAGCTCAATAAGAGTGTATAATTTGTCCGATGAGGTTTTTTATCTAAATCTTTCATCTCAATTTTCCCCTGGTAACCCACCATATGTTGACCTTACGAGTACTTCTGCACGAATGAAATATGCAAGTGAAAAAGGTTAGCAATTAAACATGTTCGTGCAGCTAATTATAAAAGCACTTAATATACATATCTATATTTTTTTATTAAGGTGCCGTGGTTCTCGGACGTTCTGTTAACGAAAGTGCGTTTCTGATTGGAGGTGTACAACAGAATCTTACACTCCTTAATGAAATTGATCATAATGCAACTATAACTTCGAATCAAACTTTGATGATAAATGAAATTAGTAAAACCTACAATACGACTGATCAATTCGTTTTTTTCTATCAGTCACGTGCAAAGTCTTGGTCATATCCTTTGGGTTATAACGGAATACCGCCGTCTAGACGAAGATCAACTTCAACTGTCATTAATCAGAATGGAATAATATATATATTTGGAGGGAGAGCTCAAGTAGATACAGGATCACCTACATTTGTTTGTTATAATGATTTATATGAATTTGATCCGGTAGTATCATCGTGGAAAAAAATTAATGCAGACAATGTTCCTTCACCTCGAAGTCACGCAGAACCAGTATTACTTCCAGATGGTAAGATTCTTTATATTGGTGGTGTATCTCAGACTGACCCTGAAAAGAACGCAAACTTAATAGATATGAATGAGGTAAAAAATAATTTTTCTTCAAATTTAATATAAATTAGTTTATTCAGTTTTCTTCCATTCGTGCATAAATATTAATTTATATCATCTATTATAGACCCCAGTATTTGACACAATTTCTTCAACCTGGTCATACAAAGTATACATTTAATTTAATTTTAGTTTTGAGGTAATAAATATTTTCATGTTGAATTTCTCAGTAATATAATTTATATTTTTAGTATGCAAAACAGCCAATCCGCATTGATTCTCGAATAGCCCACACTGCAACCTTAATACCAGACACCAATGAAATTATTATAATAGGGGGGAACACAAGTACGAAACTTGTAATAAATTTCTAATTTTCTTTTGTTTTAATAATAATAACAAATTAATTTGTTATTCTTAGATTATAATTATAACCTTACCACTGCTAAACCAGTTATTGTGTCATTAAATATTGCAAAAGAACCTTATGTATATTCTGAATTAAATACTTTCGGAGATAAACCACCTCCATTAGCAGTTCATACGGCTAATTTATATCAGAATTATCTTTTTGTTGCATTTGGTGATTATTTATTTTATTTATTTATTTATTTATTTACCATTTATTTATTTATTTTTTAAAATTAACTTTTATCTTAAACACAACAACAGGTAATATTACTGATGATTTAGTGCCACCATTTAACCTCAGCTCTCTCATTTATATATTAGATATTCCTTGCAAAACATGGGTAACTACCTATGCACCTAATAAATCAATCTGTAGCATTGTTGAATCTACTAGCAGTATTAAATCTAATAGTAGCAACGGATTAAATATTGGTGCAGTTGTTGGTATTACTATTGGCTGTGTTGGCCTTGTTGTTATTATTGCTTTAATATTTATTTTAAGAAGAAATAATGTAAGACGTTGTAATTTATATAAACCTAAACCTCTACGCAATGGACCGACTGAGCCACCCAGTTAAACAATTATTAAATATTACACAGATAAACTTTATTTTTTAGAGATTATAATTTTGACTGATCAATCTCGCTATATATGATATGCATAGGCTTGATCGAATAAAACTGTATATGGGTTAGGTCATGCTTTATTTTTTATGTTATATTAATAGGAAATCTGCGGAAAAATTTTTGCAATTCTAAAAAGGAACCATTTTTATAGGATACATTAGATATTCAAATTTTCAATTACAGCTGCTTTTGCAAGTTGGATTGGTATTTGTTGTTTAAATAAACAATCCAGTCGCAATATCAAAATGATGATAAAAAATGCATACAATAACCTTTTATGAGTTTTGTAAATATATCTGAGAAACTAATATGTACAACATTTCAAATCCCTGTAGAGAGGAATGTTTTTTTTATGCCTGCTAGTGTTAATTACGAATGAATTCACTTGTTATTAAATTCATTAGCTTAACTACTATCAAAATTACTAATATATCAAAATCATGAACTCACTCTATTGAATCTACACACTGTTGAAATCAATAACCCACCTACTATTGAAATGAGTGTTGCAAAGCGAAAACCCGAAAGTGAATAGTTAAGTTTTCATCATGACGGATAAATTGATGTTACATAATTTATACTGTATACAATCAGTGTTTTAGTCATTTTGACTGAGTATATCATCTTAAATTAAAATGCAAATTAGGCACGTCAGTCAATGCATAAGATTACAAATTTTCAGGGCTAAATTTGCAATAATGAAATAAATACATATTTCCGGATTTTTGCGAATGGATTCTGTGTAGAGTACCCTTATGTCAACTCTGGAAGCCGATCCTAGTGATGCAAAACGGCTCTGCTGAACCGTAAGCTGATCGGCTTAGCTGAGTTATTTAACGGCTTGGCTAGCTAACGGCTCAGCTAACTAACAGCTCAGCTTGTGTTATGTAGAGCCGATTATTTGAATATACATAATATGTTGTAATCACTATAGTAGAGGTTATGACACAACTAATATAATAAACTTTCGTGTTGATAATAAACTTTCGTATTGGTAATAAGCTTTCGTATTTATAATATACTATATCAATATGTCGTAATATTTTGTAAACTATTTGTTATAAATAATTTTTTTTCTTTTTGGTACTTACAATAATTGTCGAAATGGATCCTAATGACATTAATTCCCAAAATTTGCAAAACACTTTGCAAGAAACTTCTGATAATAATATAGCATCCTCAAGTAAAGATGTTGCTGTAATTACCAAAAATAAAAAAACATATGCAGTTACACCATATTTTATAAACAAATCTGATAATAATACTACAGTTATTTGTGTTATTTGTAAAAATACATATAGCAAAAAGACAGCTATGGGTACATTGCACAAACACCTTGATTCACAACATTCAGGCTGGAGTACAATTGAATATTGCGCACTTACATGTAATTCAATTTCAATTCAAAGTTTGACAGCTGATCAAAAAACACAGTTCAACCTTTTATTAGCCGAATGGATCATTTCTGATACATTACCTTTTTCAACTGTTAAAAGTAAAGCATTACTTAATTTTTTTTAATATCTTAATGCTACCATTGAGCTACCTTTACGTGAGACAATAAAATCCATTGTGCAAAATTCTTTCAATTTAATGAGAGGAGATGTTCTAGCCCTTTTAGGACAAATTTTAGTAAAATCTCTATAACATTGGATATTTGGACCTCCCATGCAAATACATCTTTTATTGGTATTACAGCACACTGGATTGACAATAATTGGAACCTTAAAAAAATTTTACTTGATATTAGTATACTTCCACATCCACATACTGGTGAAGATATTGAGATTCAATTAAGATCTATTTTAACAATCTTTAATATTAATATAACAGTATTTGGTGTTACTACTGATAATGGATCAAATATAATTTTAGCAATTCATCAATTAAAAATATATTTATCTATGCAAAATCTTCATTTTTATTCATGTTATTGCCTTGCACATATTTTGCATCTAATTGTTACTGTGAAAATGACATCAATTAAAACATCAATTGAGAAAATACACAAATTTGTAAAGACTATTATATTATCATCTACAATTACTCAAGATTTTAAAGAAATTGGTCAATCTGTTGGTGAGGGTGAAACAGTTCGTAAAATTCTACAGGACATATCAACCAGATGGAATAGTACTTACTTAATGTTATCGGTTTATACTTCTATGCCCACAACAATTGCAGCTGTTATTAGGTGTCATAGTAATTTGCTTCTTACAAGCTTACACAACAGGAAGATTTGAATCTTCAAGTTATAACCTATTTTTTAAGACCATTTTATGAAACTACGAATACACTCTCTGGTAGCACATATGTAATATTGGGTCTTTCTATATTACTAATGGATGATATCATTAATACTATTAAATTATATATTGAAGATATATCAAGTCTGCCATTTCTGACTAACTCTTTCTGATGATCACTTGTATCAAATTTTCTCTAAAAACAATCACTTTATTCTCTAAATCTTACTAAGTAAACCTACTTTGGCCACCTAAGTAAAACTGTTCTACAGTAAATTTTACTTATAGGCAGCTCTACTTCAAACCTCTAAAGCTCTTTTTTACAAAATTACAACTCTTTTTCTAAATTTTACTTCTATCGACCAAATCTCAAAATTCTACTAAGTTAACATCAAATGCTCTATAATACAAAAAGATTCAGCTCATTAACAGCTTCATTTTGATATATAATATACTAGAAACGGACTAAAACTAACAAAACTATAATCAAAATACTTTCAAACT